CAGTACAACTGATTGGTCTTAGACCAGTATGACTGATTGGTCTTAGACCAGTATGACTGATTGGTCTTAGACCAGTATGACTGATTGGTCTTAGACCAGTAGAACTGGTTGATCTTAGACCAGTACGACTGGTTGATCTTAGACCAGTACGACTGGTTGATCTTAGACCAGTACAACTGGTTGATCTTAGACCAGTACAACTGATTGGTCTTAGACCAGTACAACTGATTGGTCTTAGACCAGTACAACTGATTGGTCTTAGACCAGTAGAACTGGTTGATCTGTGTTCAGAGACCTGTCCAACCTGTTCATGTGTGTTTCTGCTCACAGCAGCAGCAGAGCGGCAGCAAGCGGCCCAGTAACAGCACGCCCCCCCCCACACAGCTCAACAAGATCAAGTACTCTGCAGGGCCTCAGCTGGTGAAGAAGGAGCGCCGGCACAGCTCGTCACGCTTCAGCCTGACCAAGAACAGGGAGCTGCAGAAACTTCCTGCCCTCAAAGGTGACCGACACCGACCTGAGACCTTGTGTTTTAAAATCATGTGTAGAAAGATTCGATATAACTACACTCCTTCACTGTTGACCATTAAACCTGCTTCAGACCTGATCCAAGAACATGGAACTGCAGAGGTCATCAGAGGGAACACAGACTGACCTAAATCAGACTTGTCCTGTTCTGCACCTGCCAGTTTTTGGTCAGGATCTGTCCAGGTCTGAAACGATTCCTCGAATAATTCCAGTAATTCAATTACTAAAAATCCTCGAGACAAATTTATCTGCCTCGAAGCTTCGTAAAAATACACACTGTTATAAACAGCACACTTCCGTCCGCCCGGCATGTTTTTTGTGTTACACACAATGCTACGATGTTAGCACTTCCGCTAACAGTTACACTGTCGACGCGTCAAGCGTGTATGCTTGCTGAGAGCTATATTTAGCTTCAGAAGAAGAAGAAGAGTGCTGAAACGAAGCGCTCAAAAAACGACAAATTATAAAAATCATGGGAACATTTAAAACTAAACAGAAAGACGACAACGTGCAGTACGCTTCACATCCTCAGTGTTTCTGCACCGGAACAAAAACACTGCTGCGTGTACCGAACAGGTCCTGAGGTAACAACAGTTTGTTTACCTTCACTAAATCTGTGATGATCTGTCAGGTTACAGGTGTACAAGGAGGAGGTGTCGTTATTTGTGCTGACTAATCACTGTCACCTGGCAGAGTTTTATTAAACACTGTGTGAGTTGTGTGATTAAAAACAACACTTACTGTAAGTTTGTCAGATAAAATAAAAACACAACAAGAGATCAACAGCTTGAGCTGAAACACTTTTATTTGTTATGATTTTATTTAGTTTAAATGATACTTGGAGTAAATGTTTCAAGTTTAAAAGTATTTATAGAAGATAGTTGGATTTTTTAATTATTTGCTGCTGATTTTTATGACTTTAGCCTTCATTACTACTGTTTGTAACTAAACAGTCAAGACTAAAGCTGTTATTGTCTAACTGGGAGCCCTGCACCAACCTAATAACTGTCTTAAAATAATATTAAATTTTTGTTACAGTTAACAAGTGAACTCTCCAAACTCAATTGCAACACCCAAATGTTTATATTACCCAGTTTACTTGTTAAATTTCTACCCCCCTCAAAATAAATTCATTCAGTTTTCCAGTCCACAACAATAAATTTACAACATTTATATTGTTCAATGATGTTAAAATGATTCAGTGTTTTTAATTAATGCCTCCTCTAACCTCACATACAAAAATACAAACAACTGGAGTTTAAAATACATTAATTATTACAACTGGTGTAGTTTTACTTTGATTACAGCAGGGTCAGCAGGTGTAGGTTACCCCTTCACATTATTAAATAAGTGTATTTCTCATAAAATAAGCTTAAATAATTACTGCAGAACATGACTATTTATTTTATATCCGATTACTTGATTAATTGTCAGAATAATCCATAGACTAATTGATTATTAAAATAATGGTTAGCTGCAGCCCTACATCTGTCTGCTCTCAGAGTTAGCTCAGATTAACCTAACCCTGGCTAACTGTAGCCTTAAAGCTAGAATAACCTAACCTTGGCTAACTGTAGCCTTAAAGCTAGAATAAACCTAACCCTGGCTAACTGTAGCCTTAAAGCTAGAATAAACCTGACCTGACAGAAGTGACCCCGCTCCTTGTGGTCCTCAGATGC